CACACACACACACACACACACACACACACACACACACACACACACACACACACACACAAAAAGACATTTGCTAACTAGAAGTACTTTATCACGATTTAATGTATTGGCACTTGTTTAGTGCTTCCGGTACCTCCAGGTGCTGCCAGTCAGGTACCTGCTATAAGATTTATTGCCAAGAAGCGTTGTTACAACAAAGAAATAATCTACCAAACACAAATTTTCTTACTTTTCATTCTAAGTTTGGTTTCAATTGAGGCATGAAATGCAAGACCATTAACAGAATTCAGATTATGATCTGAGTTTTGTTTCATATTTTTAGACTAGCTGAATTGAAATGCAAGTTTCTGTCTGACCAGACTGGTGATGATGACGATGGACCTCTCAGTGAGAGAGGGGCCAGTGTAAACACAATGCTAGCCTTGTTGCGCTTCGTGAAAAGGGTAAAGCTGGCATTCTGTGGAGAGCTCTCTGGAAATTGCAGTGTGACTCTATGACAGACTGTCCCATTCAGATAGCTGCCAGAAGCCTGCTGCTGTGATGTAGTTAGTGTCCCAAAACAGAGGAGTTATAAAAGTGTTGGCTGGCAGCTTTGGCCACAGTGATTCTTTTCTCTCATGGCTGGAGAGAAATTGGTCGTTTGAAGTCTCTTGATGGTTGTAGGATTTTGGTCCTGCTGATTGACTGTGCAATCTTGTTCTGAAACAGTTCAGATTTATAATCACTCTTAAGGGGTTAGATTTTTGCTCATAAAAAGCCTTTGATCAAGTTTTTGAAAAATCTGCTGTACAGTTTATTTTGTCATAATCTTAGTTACTAACAGATGGTTTGAACAGGAAGTGCATCAATACAGAAGGCATCTACGGAATGAAACTCCGTCGCAGCACCAAATTTATCAAGTTGTTTTAATCCAGTGACAGACACGCTTATACTAGAGCCTGTTCAGTTTTTTTTTACTTGTTTTTCAGCTCTTGGATCCAGTTTTAGAGTATTCTAAATCTGGAATATAGTACAGGAAGTTGAACTCAGAGAAGTGGATGTGCCCAAGGATGTGACCTCATGTACAGCATCAGATTATCGGAGGCAGCATTTACTCTTAGCTTCCTGACCGTTGAGCCATGTCACCTCTTTAAAGGGAACTGAAAGAGGAAGGAGGGAGGTTTGAGGGAGGACAGAGAGCCAATATTTAGCATGACTTGATTCATAGGTCATCATTTAATTATGACTCTTCTTTTGGTCTGATTTGCTGTCTTTGAAACTCAGGCCATAAATTTCTGTTATATGCTTTGCTGGCATGAAGAAGTGCTTGGCTAAATGAGTCCTTCGAGTCTGGTCAGATCTCACCACAAGATTTCATTCCAGCATAGCAGACGGCAATCTTGACTCCTATGACCCAAACTAGGGGCTCTATAGCGGAGATATAAACTGAAACAAGTTTTTAAAAAACATTTTACCAATTAGAGATTATAGTAAAGGTCTAATTTTGTGTGGTTTCAATCCTGTACAATGAAATGTACTCTATATTTACATACTGTTTCCCTGCGTCACGGAAACTTCTGTACTAGTTGTGAAAGTGTGAATAAAAAAAGACTGGATTGTTCTGCTTTCTGTATGAGCAAGTATATCTTCCTGAAAAAGGGGTTGTGGTTTTCCTGAAGCAGAAGCACGTTACTCATATTCTTTTTCATTTTTCTGGAGGTACTCTATGCGTGGGTGTGTTCACCAGCTCTAATGGTAGCAGTGAGAACACCTCACCTGTGAGAGGATCTGATCACCTCACCATGACAGAGGCCCAGGTAAGTTCAACCTCTGGAGTTCCAGCAGTGGTGGTGTCAAATGTGACTTCAGTTTTGCTTTTTGTTTCTCTTTGTAAAATGTGATCGTCGTTGCAGAGTCCATGGCCTCAGGGCACAGAGTGCGTGGCCAAGTACAACTTTAAGGGCACTTCAGAGCAGGACCTGCCATTTAACAAAGGAGACATTTTGACCATCATCGTTGTCACAAAAGTAAACCTTCGTTCCAGTGATGATGGACTGTTCTAGGTTTATTTATTTTTATTAAATGATGGTGTTATATCTTCTAACCGTTCCTGACGTTTTTGTGTTCCAGGATCCGAATTGGTACCATGCTAAAAACACTGCAGGACGTGAGGGAACAATTCCCGCCAACTATGTTCAGAAAAGAGAAGGCGTGAAATCTGGAGGCAAACTGAGTTTAATGCCGTAGGTACACATCTCAACATCTAACACAGATGTGGTCAGACACTAATTACTGGCATGGTGGCCAGCAATGCAATATATTGACTTGTCTGAACCATTCTTTGTGAAATGATTATACAACATGCAACTGAGTACTTGAATTAGATGCACAGGTTTGAACTTATTGTGGATTTTCTCTAATTAACAAGCATTTTTATATCCAGGTCCAAATACACCCCTACATTCATAAATGTCCTTTAGCACATACCTGCTGTTGGATAGTTGAGGACCATTTTTAACATGTTAGACACGCGCTTTTTGTAGCTGTCAAGTTTCTAGCATAATTCTGGTAAATATTTGACCACTTTTTTATTTTTTATTTTTTAGCAGAATTTGAGTTAATTTAAATTGTTTGGTTTCCTGGCCTGGATATGGCTTTATAGCATAGTCCACAAATTTTCAATAAGGTTTGGATTGGAGCTTTGGGAAGGCAGCTCTTGAAGCTTAATGATTGCCTGTTTTATCTTATCAGAAACCAGTTTTTGTCTTCGTGTGCACGCTATATTATTTTCCAGTTGGAACAGTAAATATATTCAATTTCCAACTGTTTAATAGTACAATTACACCTCGTTATTTATTATTCCATCCACTTTGTGCAGCCCACCAGTACCACAACATCATGCTACCACTTCCACCACCTCAGTTTATTTGAACTTGTGCATCCAGTTGTATCACTTCACCGTGGAACAAAAGCAATTTAAATAAATGTTTGACTCTCATGACCATGATAAGTGTATGTAAACGTCAGTACGAATACCAACTTAAACTTACTGTTTCAAAGCAAACAGTGTTGGGTTAGTGTGTCTGAGTCTTGTGCAACAACACAAGTTTGATATGTTGTTTACAGAAACGGCTAAAATAGCTGCATTTCACCCTGAATTTGAAACTGCGCGGTTGCAGAAGCCAGTGGCCTGTTTGCTGTTTGCAGTGACGCTCTGCTTGTGTGAATGGAGCCAACAGTTTAGTCGGGCTTGTGTCGTAATTGAAGTGCACTTCTATACTGCTTCCAGCTCAGCTCTGCATGAACTCCCCACAACTTCCTGTTGTTTCTTTTCTATTTCAGTTTGAAGTAATCTGAAAAATCTCCCTATTTGCCCTTATGATAAGTTTCCGGTGTTGTATGTACCTCTGCATAAATGCTAAATAGGTTTATTTTTAGCGTGCCTGATTGCAAAATTTTCTCAAACTTTGAAGATAAGAAATTTCATACTAACAACCAAAAAACAAACAGGAATAAAAATGCAACAACGTCTTTTAGGGAATCTCCATCAGTCGCACAGTTACGTCATAAAATGGCATTCTGTATCCAAAACGCAGAGGAAAACTACTTCAGTAATGGTGATCACTGAGGAGGAAGTAGATTCTATTTCTGTGACTATTGCCTGAGTTTTCCAACAAGCATCTCTGTGTGATACTTCACTTTCTCATGGAGCCACATGTAAATGCGCCCGCTGCACATTCCAAAGTAACATTTGAATGTGTGACCGCCTCAGTAAGAAAACGGGTCTCACGGAATATGCAAATTGCTTTAATCTTGACATCTGGATTCTGCCGACGGCATTTTATTCATTTGCATTAAAGGCTGATGGAAGGTCACTGACAGATCATATGGGCGTTTTGAACAAAGAAAAATGGAAATTACTCAAGGCAAAATGAAAATAACCACAGCTGCACAGACCCAAAACTGCTTCAAGCTCTTCACTCTGAATTGTTTTTACATACGGCTGTGTGTCTGAATATATTTCCAAAACTTAATTTCACCCCATCTAGCTCACCTGAACATCACATCCACTTCATGGCAACAGGATAAACATACAACCTCAAGCTTATACACACTCCTCCAGTAATATTTTCAATAATGTCCCTTAACTGTTACAACCTCAAACACATGCTTTTTGTAAACCATCAACAATCCTCTGTGTGCAGTAAATCTAGCTGCATATCTGACTACTTTTCTAAGCAAAGTCTACAAATTTTTGTCATGATTGAGGTTGGGCTTTTTGAAAAGTCGTTCCATAAGCTTTCTTGTTCGTAAAACGTAACTATTAAAAAACAATTTTTTATGTGTCTGGGATCATTGGGCCTCATGCAAGAACCGTTCGTACGCACAGATTTGTTCTTAAGTTGTGCATACGAGTGATTTAGGAGAATTTGAGGCATTCCCCTATGATTTCGTATTCTAAGATTTTCTTCAGATATGAACAAAATTCACGAGTGGTCCAGACCTGTCGTATATTTTATGAGCAGTCTGCTGTTATCCAGATGGGTTTTCTTCACTAAGAACTTTAGATTTCGTTATTTAGAAAATATTTTGAGTTGAAAATAAATCACACTCCATAATTATGTTAACAATAGTTTATTCTGTTTTGAACTGGAATTAGATTTTAACGACATAAATTGATTAGATTAAGTTAAATTGGCTTTTAATGCTGTTGTATAACACTACAATATTAATGTGAAGATCACAAACTAAAATCCAACTTAAACTAGACATGGGTTTTTACGATGTAAAAACAAGTGTGCATTGCCGCATAGCATGTCATTGCAGCATGGCTTTGCCTGCAAAATGAATTTTGACCAAGTTCAAATGTGTTTTCTATACCAGCTTGTGCCTGTCACGTCAGCAGGTGTTTGTAATTAAGGTAATTGTGTRACAATATGAAGTTKGAAGAGATTTTTGTTAAAGTTGCAGTAGCTGGTTTTGAACCCTGATCTCCCACATGAAAGCCCACAGTGCTCATCATGAGAATATAGGAGATGTGGCAGAGGACAATCCCAGGGTTTGGATTGTATGTATACAGAAAAAGTTTACCTTGCCAGTGCAATTATTGATACTTAAGTGCAATATATTACAGCAATAGGACAACATAAAGACAGTATTACAGTAAAACATCAAAATACAATCATATTATTAATATTGTAATCACTGAACTACTGAGTTTAAATTTTATGAAACTATGGTGCAGTACCATATTGTGTAGAGGCAGTAGGGGGCAGTATTGGACCAAAACAAGGCTCCATTGACTACTGTTATAA